GGAATTGGTTTGAAATTATGAATTCTTGACTGACAAGTTTAATTCTTGTAATAGTCCATCTTTATTACTAATGATGATGAATATTTTACTCCCCACAATCATATTAAAGTTTGTAAGTAGTTTGTCCTTCCATTGTGTCTCTTCTGTAATAACAAAGTTCAAGGTTAGAATGTTATCTCATTCTAAAGTCGACCTAGCATCTTCCCACATTTTAATTTTTTTACTTTTTAAAAGCACACTTAATTTTCTTAGAATTGTTTTTAGATTCTTGTAAAATTGAGAAGGCACTACAGAGTTTAGTATTTGCCACATCAGGTTTTTCCTATTAATATATATTTATTGCAATCAATGAACCATACTTGATAAATTATTAATAACTGAAACCCATGCTTTATTCAGTGTTCCTTAATTTTTACCTAAGGTCTTTTTCCTGTTCCAGGATCTCATTCAGAATGCCATATTACTTTTAGTTTTTGTGTCTCTTTAGAATCTTCTTCCTGTAATGATCATCTCTCTATTTATAATAATTCATTTGGATTATCCACTATTGTGATTATGAAATGAATTCACGGGTAATACATACACTCAATTTAAAAATCAATGTAATGATCTAAATTATAACAGAGGAGGAATAAAGGCTATACATAATTAAAGTGCATTTTGCTTTTATAAATGTTCACTCAGAAGTTATAAAGAAGTAGTTAGGTATTTGTACCTACTTATAACTTTAGAAAGATGACAAAACTCTGCAATATTATTGACACTTTCCTTCATTTTTAACATTTTGCAACAAGAACTGAATAAATATATTTAGATAAACATGGAATTACTGTGACAGGCACAGATGTGTTGGTTACTGTCGCAGGTGCCATGAATGGAAGTGGCTTCAGTGTCTTGATTTTCTTAAGTGGAAAACAGTACCATCTTTTGTAGACTTTTATAGTAGATGTATTTCCAGAAAATTCTGTGTATATTCAAAAGGTACAAACATCTTTCACATTTATGTGTAAAACAGAGTTAAAGTCCTAATGCAATCAGAAATGCATTTTAACCAGAACCCAAAGGTTCAATGTGACATATAAAGGCCATATGGTATGTACATAATGGTCTTACATTCTGGGCCACCTTCCACTAAATGCCAGTGGTCCCCTCCTCCTATCATTGTCATGAAAGCACCTGCAGTTTTCCAAAATGTCCCCTAGGGGGTGGTACTGCTGTGGATTGTGGTGCTAGACAGCTTAACAGCAAGTGTTGGTTTCTTTGTGAAAAGAGTTCACAAAGAACTGAGTGCCAGAGACAAGGCATATAAAAAACACTTACCAAGGTGCCTGGTACTTTGTATGTTTTCCAAGAATGTAGTTAATATCTTCCAGTTAATCAGCAGGGTTGTTTGGGAGAACATAGTATCCTTGGCATCCAGGTAGTTGTGTGTGAGTGGGGAATGCAGATCAGGCAAGTACTGCCATCCCTGCCTCACACATGAAATAAGCAATGAATTATTAATCACTTACATTTGGAAAAGGGAGCTCCCAGGAGTGAGCCAGAGTCAAAGAAATCTTTCTGGAGAGGACAATAGTAGCTTATTGAATCAGGGCAACTGGAACATGAAGGAAATATACATTTACCCCATGAATATAAAAAAAATAGCTCCTAGACCCTTACTTCTCAAAATGTGTTATTCAGACCAGAAGCACTGGAAGCACCTTGAGGGTGTTAGAAATCTCAAAATCTCAGCCTCTATCTCAGTTCCACTGATTCAGATCAGCATTTTAGCAAGAATCCCAGGTGTTCATAGGAGCAGAAAGGGTGTGGTATGTTTCCCCATCCAACATAAAGATCAAGACTAACACCCCATAACAAAAGACAGGTTAATAGGAGAAAAGCACAACAAACTTATTTAATCAACATTCTATGTTACACAGGAACCTTTAGAAATAAGAAATATAAACCCCAAAGTCTAGGGGAACTGTTGATTTTTATGCTTAGATTTAATGATGAATGGACAGCCGTGTTTGAATCTGATTGGACAAAAGGGCATGAGCTAATGGTAATCGACTGGGGAAACCCAGTAAGTCCTTTCTGTTTGCATTTTTCTTGGCTTCTCTCCGTGTTATTCCTTCCTCCTGGGTACAAAGCAGGACTCCTCTGGAATGGGGTTTTATGATCTATCAGACAAGGTAGGTCAGGGAATTTGTATTTGGTAGCTCCTACCCAGAAGGGCCGAAAAGTTAGAATGACATTTCTAGGTTTTATAGCTTTAAAAAAAAATGTTCAGTTGTTGATGGAACTTTATTTTGTTTATTTTATTTTATATGCAGTGCTGAGAATTGAACCCAGAGCCTCACACATGCTAGGGAAGTGCTCTACCACTGAGCCACAACTCCAGCCCTGTGACTGGTTTTGAAAGATTAGAGAGGTGTTACAGTTTCTCTGATCCACCTTGGGTGGGAAGAGGAATTCTATTGTCTCTGGACTGCTTGGGGGAGAGAGACAGGGAAGGAAAGCAGAGGAAAGTAGGGGAGAAGCTCAGAAAGATCTTATTTCTGAATGCTTTTTTTTTTTTTTTAGTTCAAAGTACTAAGCATGCAAAGACTTTGGGGTATTGTATTCTGAACTCCAACATGTTCATCTGTAAATTCAAATTTGAGGTTCACTGGACTATGAAGCCAACGAGGAACCAGAAGCATGAACAATAATACTATTTCCTTTTTTGTGAGAGCCTGCTGTAGACCTGGTGTGTGTGTGTGTGTATATGTGTCTCAAAGATTTCTGACTAGACTTCGTCTACTGAAGCAGAATTTCCAAGAGTGTCAGGGAGAGATGGGTATTTAGATAAACAAACAAGAAACTCACAAACACATGAAGGCTGGGGATGTAGCAGTGGTAAAGCCTGTGCTTAGCATGCTGAAGGGATGTTGGATCCTGGTTCCATCCTCCAACAAAAGAAAAAAAAAACAGATGTCTGTCAGAATGGGGAGAGGAGCTTTACAAAATACTCATGTCAAGATTTCAGCCCAGATCTATCACATCAAATATTATATCAGAATCTCTAGCAGTTGTGGAGGCCTGGACATTTTTGTTTAATCTCCAAGTGTTTCTTTGACAGTCATTGACTACATGACCAAAGGGATCCTCTATAAAACTCCTCTCAATAATTTATATAAAGAAATAAAATCAAGTGTGTGTGTGTGTGTGTGTGTGTGTGTGTGTGAGAGAGAGAGAGAGAGAGAGAGAGAGAGAGAGAGATACAGACAGAGACACACACAGAGAGAGACAGAGAGAGAGACAGAGAGAAGTGTGTCTGCAAATATATCTGAAGGATTGTCTACTTCAGAGGACAGAACAAGGATTAGTGGGTACAAATTTTTAATGTTTTAAAGTCAAACAATCATAGCGTTTTCCTTTTTCTTTTGGGACAAGAGGGACATTTGAAATGACCTAGTTCAACTCTTAGTTTGTAGTTGAAGAAATTAGTGGTCAAAAGATAAAAGAAACCAAGATCAACTCCTATCTGATACTGATTAACAACCAGGATAAAATAAAATGAGACTCTCCTCATTTCTGTGATATTTCCACTGCATCACAAAGGCATTTAAATTCCACCCTGATTTCGATCACAAGTAAAGCGGAAATGAGAAAGGAAACCGGTTACTCTTAAAAAAAACAGGGCGGATTCCTTTAAAAGAGGAATTGGCAATTTAGAGTACTCAGATTAAATTTAGAGACTGATATCAACCTAAAGATGAAATCTAGACTCTAGAGCTTGGATGTTGATACCATTAAATGCAAGCTCAATCTGTTCAGCCGCCGGGTCTCCTCTGCGCCTCTCCGGTCTCCAAGAGAGCAGGTGTCCACGGGGCGTGGACTAGGCTGTGGCTTTGCTGGGGAGACCAGTGCGACCGCGCAGGGGTACCAGCTCCGGGTGATAGGAGGTGGAAAACAGGGATGGGACTGGGGCAGGCGGGAGAGACTTTTAGGAGGATTCTCAGAGGGAGAAATGAGCTGGTGAGAGAACAGGTTGAGAAAGACAGAGTGACAGGTCGCTGTGGGGAAGCCATGGGGTCCAAGCGTTTTCTACAGCGCTGTTGGTCCATCAGACTCTCCACCTCTTGGCTAAGTTGGTGCTCAAGAGAAACTGAGAGGGGAGTTAAAAGCAGGAGACAAACAGGCTTTCCGGCAGGTGAACCCCGTTTTCTCTGGATGGACGGCGAGTGTGGCGGCCCAGGCAGGCAGGGACCCGGTTCGCCTCTGAAGCCTGTGAGGCTCCGGAAAAGAAAGATGCCAGATAAGGAGCGCTGCTCATTCTCCTGTCCCCGAGATGCAGCTGGCTTTGCGGACGGCAGAGGAATTGGGTCTGAAGGGTCCTTTTGGGCACCAATCCGTCGCATGGGTGGGTCGCATCCCCTGTCACGACGTCGCTAAGTACTACCCAAGCCGCCTGCCTCTTCCAAAGATACCAATAGCCCCTCTCTCTTCCGCTCATCTGCCCAGAACCGGTCACGGAGGCCTCTGTGCACCGACCTCTGTGCACCAGCTCAGGCGCAGCGCCTTGGGGCGGGTCCCAGTCACCCACACCTGCCCCCAGGGGCGGAGCGCAGCGGCGACAGCGTGGCCCCAGCCTCCACCGCCGG